GCTGATGAGTCTCCACACACCCGCACATGATACACCCTAAGCCCTAAGCTGCCAAAATCCGGTTCCTGCTCACGCGACCTGCTGCGTGAGATTCGCAAACCCTGCGAGGATCCGGCCCCTTTGCTGCACTTCTCGCAAGGCGGCCGAACCTTGAACGACCGGCTCAAGACACCACAGAGGCATTGGATGCGACCCGAACCCTGGCTGCAGCTAGTACTGCTGTGACCGCGAGAATGCAGAGTAATGCAAAACAAATAGTCAAAAACACATAAACCAATAAATAAATGAATAAAAAATAAATAGAGATATAAAGAAATCAAAATGTATATATATATATATATGTTACATATATTATATTGCTGAATGCAGATAAAAAATGATGTAATGGCACTCATGGGTGCTAAGGGCACCGAGGTCTGAGCATAGCCACCCATGCGCACATTCACGGCCTCGACCTCATCAAGCTCAATTCGCGCGAGCAATGTGGGGGGGGTTTCCGAAATGACTTATTGGCGGTCCTTATTACAAGGGAATCCTACTATGTGGGGGTCTATTTTAAGGGTGCCTTGTTAGGGCCCTTATTATAAGGGAATCCTACTATGTGGGGGTCGATATTCGGGGTACCTGATTGGGGTCCTTATTATACCTTGTTGGGGGTCCCTTATTTTCGTAAACCCCCCATGTTGCACAGGCATCCCATGCAACCCGACCCATAGCCCTTCAGGCCATGAAGCGGCCACTGGCTACGAAGCTTTACAGCAAACCTGCAGCTTTCAGCCTAAACCCTAAAACCCTAAACCCTAAACCCTGAACCCTGAACCCTAAACCCTAAACCCTAAACCCTAAACCCTAAACCCTAAATCCAAAGCTTCAAGTGGCAGCCCAGGCGACCGTGACAGTGACTCACGGTAGCAATGCGGGGGCCCCAGCATCCTGGATCTCGGTGAAGGCCAACTCCACCCAGGAGCCCTTCCAACAAAAAGCGTTTAGGGTTTAGGGTTTAGGGTTTGGGGTTTAGGGTTTAGGGTTTAGGGTTTAGTTAGGGCCTTTATGGTTTAGAGCCTTTAGGGTTTAGGGTTTACGGCCGTTAGGGAGTGGCTGGATGTTGGTCCTTAAAGCTGCTCATCATATTTGTTCAAATATACATAATATTTGGAATATGTCAACAAATTATTTTGATCGTGTTATGACAAAAATACTTGATCTTTTAGATAAAACATATGAAGAATTTCCAAATGGAAATCTACAAGCTGCAAATCATTTGAATAGTATTGTTGATTTAATAATTCAAATTATCAAAACTGATAAAGCTGATATATTATTTATTGATAATCAATTTGCTACGCAAACTGAACTTCTCAGAACCCTGCAAGCTAGTAGCTCTCAGGCCCTTCGAAAACATGAGCCCACTGTAGTGTCTGAGCTAAGCTGCCATGGGTCGAGAACCGACAAGGTTGTACGAGCCACGATGCCAGAACATACCACAAGACCATTCTAGGTTGGCCCCTTGCAACCTCTGAAAAATACTCCGGAGTATGACCTTCTCGAACCCGATCAAGCAAAATATATAACCTCTCACGGGCCTACCCAGTACTAGGTGGCACTGTGCATTCCTCAGGCTCCCAGTCCCCGCCAAAGATGTTACCAAAGGTTTCTGAGGCTCTGAGACACACACACACACACTCTCTCTCTCTCTCTCTCTTTACCTCTCCCTCCCAGGGCCACTTCTATGGCGCAGTTCATGTACAAGAACCACTTTGGCTGTAAGGCGGGTTACATGTCTGAGTATGCAGGTCTGTAAGCTTCCTGTCTGCAGAGCTAAGCCCGTTGCGAGTCTACACGTCTAGAAGTGCAGTTGACACCGTCCTTTACACGTGCCGGGTGCTCTACTGGTGTCAGGACCTAGACTTGCCTTCCACACAGTCTTAGGGTAGCTATATGGCTTTATATGGCCCCTGGAAAGGGGACCCCTGATAAAGACCCTTATATACCCTGTACAAATGAAGCGCCCATACTAGCAAACTCAGTGCCTCCCACGCAGGTGAAGTGACGTCGGAGGTTTTGAATACTGCTTTGCAGGCACCATTGGCCTGGAAAAAGCAAGCAATCTTGTACATGAAGTGTAGGGCTCTTCTATTCTTATCAGACCCCAAATGGGCGTTTCCCAAAAATAGGGTCGCCGTAGTATACCGCCAAATACTATAATCCTTATTGTAGGAACCCCCCCCCCCCCCAAAAGGGTACCCCCTATTTTCGAAAACCCCCAAATGGACACCCAACATATATACACTCACCAATATACACTCACCAATAATTACATTTTGATGAACACTGTATACACTCACCAATAGCAGTAAATAAACCCTGTTTCACATGACCTTTGGGTTTACTGGCTTGTGTGACAGGCTCAGCAAGCTGTCCAAAGCAAGAAGTAACTTCTGCCAGCTGCGCCCATCCGCAATCAACGTTGCACCAGCTTGCGCCATGCCCTGGACACAAGCGGCCATACAAATCCCTAAACCCTAAATCCTAACTCATGGCATGAGGCTCCACGTGACTCCTGGCATGCCTGGCCCATCAAAGGCCGATCCCCTACATCCCTTTACTGCAGACGCCTTTTAACTCACTTCACGCATGAAAACCCAAAAGCCCTGCTTACTAGTGAACAATGTGGCAGCTGGGGCCTTTCGGGCAGTCTCGACAACTGCTGGCTTCGTGCCCGCCACAGGTGACCTTCGAAAGCTTTTGGGGTTTGTGGTTTAGGGTTCAGGGTTTGGGGTAGGCTGGGGTGAGCATCGCCAAACGAGTGTAGGGCAAACAAAAACCCTAAACCCCTAAACCCCTAAACCCCTAAACCCCTAAACCCCTAAACCCCTAAACCCCTAAACCCCTAAACCCCTAAACCCCTAAACCCCTAAACCCCTAAACCCTAAAACCTTAACCTCTTCAAACCTCGAACTCTGACATCCGCTGTTCAGCCTTCTGGCGGAGGTCAGAGTCATCATACAGCGACTGCAGGAGATCCGGTCGACCCCTGGGCAGTCTGCAGTGGGTTTAGGGTTTAGGGTTTAGGGTTCAGCATCTCAAGTCCAAGCATTCTCTAGTCAAGCAATTACTCCAGGAAAATACCCACCCGCCCAAAGAATCCCACAACATGAAGAAAATATTTCACTTCTAGAACGGCCTTGCCCAGCAAAACAATGACCTTGCCCAGTAAAAGAACGACGTTGCCCAGTAAAAATATGACCTTGCCCAGAAAAAATCACCTTGCCCAGCAAAAAAAGACCTTGCCCCGTAAAAGAATGACCTTGCCCAGTAAAAAAATGACCTTGCCCAGTAAAACAATGACCTTGCCCAGTCAAAAAGGACCTTGCCCAGTAACCCTCGTTTTTTAGACCGAACGGTCTTGCCCAGCAAAAAAAATGACCTTGCCCAGTAAAAAAATGGCCTTGCCCAGTAAAAAAAGGACCTTGCCCAGTAAAAAATGACCTTGCCCAGTAAAAAATGACCTTGCCCAGTAGAAATGTGACCTTGCCCAGGAACCCTGTTACTGGGCAAAGTCATTTCTTTTACTGGGCAAAGTCATTTTTTTACTGGGCAAGGTCATGTTTTTTCTGGGTAAGGTCCTTTTTTTTACTGGGCAAGGTCATCTTTTACTGGGCAAGGTCATTTTTTCACTGGGCAAGGTCTTTTTTTTACTGGGCAAGGTCGTTCGGTCTAAAAAACGAGGGTTGCTGGGCAAGGTCCTTTTTTACTAGGCAAGGTCATTTTTTACTGGGCAAGGTCCTTTTTTACGGGCAAGGTCATTTTTTACTGGGCAGGGTTATTTTTTTACTGGGCAAGGTCATTTTTTTTACTGGGCAAGGCCGTTCGGTCTAAAAAACGAGGGTTGCTGGGCAAGGTCCTTTTTTACTAGGCAAGGTCATTTTTTTACTGGGCAAGGTCATTTCTGTACTGGGCAAGGTCATTTTTTTACTGGGCAAGGTCTTTTTTTACCTGGGCAAGGTCATGTTAATGAGTTACTGGGCAAGGTCATTTTTTTTTACTGGGCAAGGTCATATTTTTACTGGGCAAGGAAGGTTATTTTTTTGCTGGGCAAGGTCATTTTTTTACTGGGCAAGGTCTTTTTTGTTTAGACCGAACGACCTTGCCCAGTAAAAAAATGACCTTGCCCAGTAAAAAAAAAGGCCTTGCCCAGTAACTCATTAACATTTAATTCTATATGAAAGAGAGGTTTAGGGTTTAGGGTTTAGGGTTTAGGGTTTAGGGATTAGGGTTTAGGGTTGAGGGAGACTCATTGGGTTTGGGCTTGGGGTTTCGGGTTTGGGGAATTAGGGACTATACCTACACCCTGGATGCCCCCGTCAACGCAACAGTCTTGTTCGACTCGTGCAAGAAAACCACGTGCAACAAAAGGAGTAAGGATCAGAATCGCAATGCTAATCGGGCCCGATGATTTCTGATGTCTACACTGAACAAGTGTGAGCAAACGAGATGAGCCTGAAAAGCCGGGAACGCAACCCGGTCACAACTAGCGAGAGTCATCTTCGTCTGCGCAGCTCTGCTTTCGATACCGTAGGCTGCGTGATTGCACCGATGCAGCATCTACCCCAAGCACTGTCCAAAAACATCGCAAAACCTGCCGTCTCAAGTCTATAAGTTGGGATGTTAGCCCTTCTACCGTCAGTCCTTAATAAGTAGGGACTAGAATCGGGGTACTATAATCTCTTTTAAGGACTGTTAGTAAAAGGGGAAACATCCCAAATCTATAAGCATCAATCGAGCATTCAGCCGTTTCTCCTGACATTCACCCTAAACCCTAAACCCTAAACCCTAAACCTTAAACCCTAAACCCTAAACCATTTCCGAGGCCCTAACTCCATATTGGTCGTCAGCGAGCCCGGAGGGTTGTCGAACAAAGAGTCCAGCAGCGGATGGTTCTTGAACCACGCCTGGCACGACTTGTTGTGATTTAGGGTTTAGGGTTTAGGGTTCAGGGTTTAGGGTTTAGGGTTCAGGGTTTGCATCTTCAGCAGATGATGCAGAAGCAACATCACTTCAAGCAGACTCTGGAACACGTCAGCAAACATCGTCCGGATGAGTGATGACCATTCTTGTCCGGAACAACACTGGCACGGAGCGGCATCGGTGGCTCGTTGGACCTTTCCCTGCAAGGACGATACATCCCCGAGGTGCTCAAGAATTGCCTGCCCAGCACAGGGGAAAAGCAGCAAAGAAAGAGCTGGCCAAACACGGCCAAAACCGTCCTGTGCCGGTTACTGTAGAATCTAATGACGCGCGGGGGTCTTCTCTGCAAAAGTAGGCACTTGCAAACTTCATGTGCCCCAAAGCTCTGGTAGCACAGTGTCTGGTTGCTGTCCTGCTTATGCACTTGGACTCACACAGAAGGTCATTCAAAGGTGCAAAGCCTGCTGCCTCCTTGTCCTTGGCGTGAAGATTTCTGATGTCTGGACGTTCGCCTTTCAGAGAACCTTGTGCAAACCGCGCTTGAGATCCTACACACATGGTGTAGCGATTGCCCTTTGCCCGCCTAGCGCTGTGGCTTTCGGAACTGTCTGATTGCCGATGACGTCAACGAAATCCCAATACAGGGCATCTGCGGGGGCTTCCGGAAACATCAGTAGCATCTCCTCAGCTTCTGCAGAGGGTTCTTCGGTGAGTCACAATCCACCAACAATCCTGCACGCTCGGCCTCAAACCCCCGAAAACCTAAACGAAGGTGACCCTCTTGCGAGCGCTTGCCTGTCTAAGGAACCCTCAGGGCAGCTCAGCTTCCATCCACCTATGCAGGAGTTGGGAGCGGATGAGCTTCCTCCCATGCCCTTGCCGACTGAAGTGGATGCAGACCCAGGGAATGTTGTGGGACTCCAGGTCTCGGGCGTGCCTTTGCATAAGCATCGGGTAATTCTGGGCCATCGGGGCGCCCCACTCCAGGGACATGAAGGTCTCAGCCAGGGGCTGCAAGAAATGGACCAGCAGTGCCAGGTCGATGTTCTGCGAGCGCGCAGGGGGCTCCGGATACAACTCCGGTAAGGGATCAAGCAAGTGGAGCAGGTTCCGCTTCTCCGGGCCAAGGCTCTGGAGTATGTCCCGGATGCCTGGGATCGCTGTGCTTTAAGCCCCAGGAAAAACACAAAATGTAGTTTTGAAAGAAATACATGCGCATATAATTATAATGCATGTATATATATATATGTATATTATACATATAATGTATGTATATGTATTCATATGTAGCTGCTCCTTGCCCCCCCCCCCTCCTCCTAAGATCCACGCCCAGCTGTGTGCAAGGGTCCGGAGAGTCATTACCAGTTTTGATTGCATGTTCCTCTTCATTACAAGCAGCAGCTCTCTCATTGCTTCTTTGGTTTGGAAGGATTGCAGATCACGTCCAGGAACTGCTTGGCTCCAGAATCCACAAGAGTCCCAAACTTAGACCCTTGCTCTCCAGGTGCTGTTCAGAAGAGGAACCCCTAAACCCTAAACCCTAAACCCTAAACCCGAAACCCTAAACCCTGAACAGTCGAATCTAATCTTGAACTCAATCAAGTTCGACTGCGCAGGTCTGCGCAGGTCTGCTTGCTGGTCTCTTGAAACACTTGTGGCCGCCATGCAGGCAGCACGCGCGTGTGCGCGCTCGGGCAAGGCTGCTGTCATCGAAAACTGTGTTTATCCATCTCGTTTGAATGCGTTTAAGCAGCAACTGAAGCTCTCAGGTCAGCGCTCCCAATTGAGGAGCGGAGTTTAGCTTTGTTTTGGGAGTTCTAGGCCTCCTCTGCACTTTCTCTTGGAGGCATTCACGTGCCTTGACCCACTCTAAGCCCACACTGAAGCCCAAAACCCCCACCCTTCAGGCCATATGCTAAAGCACCCTACATGTCCTGAAGCCCTTAAAGCCAAGATTCCTTGGATCATTTCCTGCCGCATTTTTCTCTCGCGCGCCTCCGAGACATGGGCCACGAGGATCCCGATCACGGCCCCGCCAGCTCCGGCGTCGAGCAGACCGTCAAGGATGCTTCTGGTGAGCTGGGTGCCAGCAGGATCGAGGACGAACCCAACTGACAGAAAGGGCTTGACGCCTAGGTAGGGAACAAATCAAAATCATTCAACACAACACATCCTTGCTTATCCTATTTTACTGGTGGGGATGTCGTAAGGGAACTCTTAGAAACAAGAAGAAAGGAGCAGAAAGTGCCACTCAGCAAATGCTAGACACTTTGAGGCTCAGATCGGGGATCTCTTGCTGGGCCGAGGTGTCTGAGCTTCTCCTTCGTAGCCCAGTAACCATAATACACTAAGGGCACCCTTTCTTGGGGTTGGCTACTTCATAAGGGAGCACATAACCAACAAAAAGGGTAAAAGGGTACCACTGGCCTACTAAGTCTCGGGATTGATGTGTAGAATCCCAGACCTCATCGATCGCCAGTCGAGGGGGATGCCTTGCTGTCGAGCTCCCGAGTTACAGGGCCTTTCAGACTCGGAGATATCCTTACTTCCCCAATAACCAAGGGGAAAAAAGGTTAAACTTTAATATTCCTACTAAATACAGTATCCCCAAAAGTTTAAAGCTCAACTACAGGCGAAGTAAGTATCAGAATAACTCGCTCTCCGCCCTGTTCCGCGATCTGCAACTGATGGTGAGACGGATTCTGGAGCCGTCACGAACCAGCAGATGAGGACGTCAAGCGCAATGAGGTAGTAGAGTGTCCAGCAACTTAACATCCCGAAGGCTTCTGTGACGGTGCGGAATGTACACCGGCTGATCAACACGGCCATCCAGGCAACGATGCCTGCTGAGAAGCCAACAAGAGCTGCCAACAAAGCATGCTCCAGGGAGTACCGTGGTCCCCGCTTCTCTGTAGGCACATCCTCTGAAGGGATTTCTGTCCCCGGGATCGTGTCATCGAGGCTCTGCAGCACAATCTCCCGGATCGCAATCCATTCTTTTTGGGCCGCAGAGAGACGGATTTCCAGGCACATGACACCCTCCAGCTTGCCTTCCCAAACCACCTCTGCCTCCGAGATCTCACGCAAGCTGTTAGCCAAGCTGCAGTCGCTACTCTGAGACACTTGCAGCTGTCCGTGTCGGATGAAATCTGCCTCATGGCCTTTGCGGCCTTGACGAAGCACAATGCGGGCCTGGTTTGAAGAGAAGGCCTCTGCAAGCTTGAGTCCTTGCGGGCAGATGCTGTCCGTGAGAACAGGTATGCACCGGTCCTCCCCCTTCGACCCCACTCCATCCTAAACCCTTATAAAACATGCTTATGCAAGCCCTATAAAACCTATAAACCCTTCAAGAACCCCTACAAACCCCTAGAAAAGCCCTAAAAAGCCCCAAGCCCTGCCAAGGAGCTGAAGAACTTCGCGCCGACGCACTTGTTCGCGGCGTCCGAGTCCCCTTTAGCCAGCGGATCCGAACATGTATCGGCCGTCCAGAACCCAAGCGGGTCACCCGGTGGATAGGCGGATTCCGGCAGGTAGTGCTGAGCCAGGGCGTTTTAGGTAGTTTTGCTCCATTCTTTGGGGTTTTCCCCTTATACTAACAGTCCTTAATTGGGATTCAAATATAGGGGGTACTTTCATCCTACTAAGGACTGTGAATACAAGCTGGAACATCCCAATCCATTCTTATGAACCTGAACTGTGTGTTCATGGGCGCCTGCAAGATCATACTAAAATCCCACACTTGGAGAGGCGCCCTGGACATTTGAAAGCCTCCGCCCATGTGCCAAAGCCCACATATACACAGGGTTTCGGGTTTAGGGTTTAGGGTTTAGAGTTTAGGGTGTAGGGTTTAGGGTATGAGGCGCGAAGCATTCGCCTATCGTTCCCCCCACTGCCTGGTAGTGCTTCATCGAGCTTTCGACCGTTGCTCGCGGATATCCTTGCAGCTTTCAACTAACTCCCATGCCTCACTACATAAACACGACCTAAGATGAGGCAGCAGAACATGATCCGAAGAATCAGAGGTAAGCCGCTTCAGACGGAAAGTCTCCCCGGATCCCGCCCGGGATACAGAATGCACGCCGATCCCCAAAAGTGCCAGAACCTGCATTTGCGCCAGGTGGCTTGCATTGAAAGCCCCATTTGCTTCGATTGAAGGCTTGGAGGAATTCGCCGACACCTCATCAAGTCAGGGGTTGGCTCTGCTGGATGCTGAGCTCACAGCAGGGTGGTGTTAGTTGCAAGGGTTCTGAAGAACAGAAGTTGCTTAGAAGAAGACGCTATCGTAGCACACTCCCCCAACCTGTCGTCTACCTGCGTTCTAGGCAGACTGGCACTCTGGGACCGTCCACCAGCCTTGTTTCTGCTTTCCTTAAGCCCTAAGCCCTGCACTTCAGACTGCTCGGCAGCCTCGGAACCTGCCTTTAACAAAGAGTTCGTGCAGGGACTGCTGGCGCAACCCTGCACAGAATCACATGCCCTGCGAAGAGAGGGGTCCTACGCAGGATGCAGATGCTTCGCCCATCTTAGCACTGCACTCGCCCAACAAAGCGACTGATACAGGAGTATAAGGTGCCTTATTTTATACTCATGGTACCACCTTCACAGCCAGAGCTTCTGCAAGATTCCTGGTCGCTCGCAGAACTTGCACTGAGACGGCGCGCCTCATCCACAAGGAAGACCCGCGGAAGGGACTTGTTGAAGTAATACAAGTCCAGCTCAGATCTCATTTGCCCCAGCTTCTTGACGGCGTCCGCTCCCTTCTTCATGGCGTCGGCCTTCTTATTCCTTGGTAGCCCGTAACCATATTATGATAAGGGCACCCTTTTTGGGGTTGGTTTTTTTTCCAAGGGAAACCATAAACAACAAAAGGGTAAAAGGGTACCACTGGGCCACCAAGATTCCAATCTGACTCCAAGTTCTTGGGCAGATCCCAGGTCACCTTTGCCCGCTGAGGAAAGCAAAACAACGCATGGGGGCTTTCGACGTTTACACCTTTGAGACGTTGAGCCACACCGTTCGGCTTGCATCCGCCTTAAGGCGTCCAAGTCTTCACGAAACGAAGGCACGCTAGCAAACTGAGTCCCTGTGATGAGGCCTGCGCCGGCGCGTTATCAAAGACCAGCTACTGGTACTTGGAGGTTCATGGTACCTAATAACCCAATTATAACTGTACGTCTACTCACAACCATCTTAGGGCAATTAAATGGCTTCTCATTGGGTTATAAGTACACATCTAATTGGGTTACAAGTACCATGAACCTCCAAGCAGGTAGCCATCTCACGGTTTCGTTTACTGAGTTTACTGCACATGCCCGCTGCAAGGAAGCTTCTGGCAGGCGACAGGCGTCGGGCTCCATGCATCGATCCATATCCACACCAGCCAGTCGCAGGGAGCCTCTGTACCTCAGATCGGGGGTTCAGGGTTTAGGGTTTAGGGTTTAGGGTTCAGGGTTTAGGGCTTAGGGTACCCTGTTGGAGTTTCCTATCATAAGGATTCTACTATTTTACCCCCATTTCGGAAATCCCCAAATGTGTCTAAAACACCAAGATCCCTAAACCCCTGAAAGGGAGGGTCTGGCACTAGGTCCGAGGCAGCCCCATGCCGAATGGTTATATCGGGGCCATAAGGAGTAGGGTTAGGGTTTAGGGTTTAGGGTTGCCAGTAGCATTTATTCCGACCCCTACAATACAGGCTACAGACTTGAGACTTGGGTTAGGGCCGGGTTGACGACAAAAGGCTCGCTGGCGTGTAAACATACCCCAGCCCCCCCTGAACCCTAAACCCTAAACCCGAAACCCTAAACCCTAAACCCTAGACCCTAAACCCGAAAAGCTAGGCTAGAGTCTGTAAAGCCTCTTCGGTCTCCTCGTGCGGGTCGTGCCGAACAAAAAAAACACTACATCGAACAGTGGCCCTCGCATGTCGTTGGTGTAAGTTAGGGCTTAGGGCTTAGGGCTTAGGGCTTAGGGTTTAGGGTTTAGGGTTTAGGGCTTAGGGTTTAGGGCTTAAGGCTTAGGGTTTAGGGCTTAGGGCTTAGGGTTTAAGGCTTAGGGTTTAGGGTTTAGGGTTCGGGGTTTAGGGTTCAGGGTTTAGGGGCTTAGGGGTTAAGGCATGATGAAAGTTTAGATGAGGTTGACGAGCCAGGTTTCTACACAAGCCGTGGATCCGTTCATGCAAACAGCCGCCACCAAGGGAAATGCTTGCACAAGCATCTTTTCTCAGTCTTGATATGGGCGGGGGGGGGGTGTACCCCTAATTTAGACCCCCAAATAGTAGAATCCCCTTGTAATCAGGACCCCAATAAAGGTACCCTACATTTCGGCAACCCCCATATAGAAGTCGGGAGATTGCAGCCGTTGGCTGCAAGCTCTGTTCTGGAGGAGGTCCGACAACTCTGCCGTAGAAACCCTAAACCCTAAACCCTAAACCATAACCCTAAACCCTAAACCCCAAACCATGACTTTGGGTTGAGGTTTTTTTAGCATCAGCCTCCCAAGGAGCCCCGATACCTTTTCAATGATCCTCAGGGACTGGGGCTATTTTCTGGGGGGTTTCCGACATAAGGGGTACCTTATTGGGGTTCTTATTCTAAGGGAATCCTCATATTTGGGGGTTCCTCAGCTTCGTAAACCCCCCCCATTTTTGGGGGAGTAGTCCTTAAACTACACGAGGTGCTGACGGCTCTCTCTATGCATGCCTGGTTGCTGTAGGTGAGCAGAAATTGGGCCAGGCTGGGAAGGCGGGAGCTGTTGAAGAGCTTGCCGATGAAGCCCAGGCTCGAAAAGGACGCCATAACCTGCACCATTCTTGGGGTACTATAAGAACATGATCATTTCTGTTCCTTAGTGGGTTTAAGTGTTCATTGTTATTGGGTTTAAGTATTCATAAAGAATGTAAACTGATGTTCAACAATGACCCAGTAACCCAAGGCTTGTTGGTCAAGCTTCGATCGAGGGCACTTCGAACGAACGCAGAGAAGCTTGGAACCGGATGTATGTCATCCTCCAGCTGCATGTAGTAGTCCGACATGTTGGAGGCATACCACATCAAAAAGGTGTAGTCCAAATTCTGCTTCGTCCGCCACCACGTCCTCTTAGGGCTGTCCCCAAATTTGAGCAGCACGCCCTTTTCGTTGACGAAGTTCGAGAGCTTGGCAGCGGTGGCTTTGACCCACTTGCCATCCACGAACTCCTCCCAGCCTCGGACGCTTTCGTCCTCAGCTTTGTAGGGTTTAGGGTTTAGGGTTTAGGGTTTAGGGTTTAGGGTTTAGGGTTTAGGGTTTAGGGATTAGGGATTTAGGGTAGGTGCCGGGGAGGGGTTCCGCTCCATGCTTATAAGCTTCAAAGGCTTCACAAAGCCCTGAACCCAGGCCCATCATGCAGCCCTCTCCTGGCAACGTGGGAGCAGGGTCCTCCTGCTTCAAACTGACAAGGCGAAGCGGCATGTGTAGGCAGAGATCAAGATACTTGTCCCAAAATGGCCAGTGTAGACTCGGACCTCCCTTCATGTTCTCCATAAAAACCCATAGCATAGGATCCCATGTTCCCAAACAAGGACCGTTTCCACAACGGCTAAGGTCAGAGTGTGTGGGGTATACTGCTACATCTATGAGGGTTGACCTCGAATTATTTTTTGAAATCTCAATTCGAGTGCAGTTTGCACCAAAATCGCCGATCATTTTGATCAACACAATATAAACTCAGAGCTATCAGACGTTGACAATGGAGTTGCAGGTCGGGCTTGAGGGTCCGAAACGTGCTTGATGCTAGCCGGCTCTTGGAGAAGCGTCGCCAGGCTAGGTTGAGAGCAAGGGTTTAGGGTTTGGGGTTTAGGGTTATAGGGTTTAGGGTGTAGGGTTTAGGGTTTAGGGTAGGAAAGCGAACTCTCTCTCGCAATGCAGCTACCAGCCCTTTGAACCCTAAACCCCCGCTCAAAACGCCCAGTCCAAGGAGCGAACGCCCCCCCTCCCCCCCCAAACCGCACTGAACCCTTGGAACTCAAACTATAAATCCTACAACCCCTAAGCCCTATAAACCCTAAACCCCTATAAACTCTATAACACCTATAACTTCCAAGTGTCGAGAACTTCCAGCTCTTCAGGTGCTCGCGCTTGCGATTTGCAGTCCCCTGATGCAAGCCGCCGAAGCAGTGCAGTGTTGGGGCTTGGGACTGACATGTTTACACAGGGTTTAGGGTTTAGGGTTTAGGGTTACACAGGGTTTAGGGTTTACGGGCTGGCGGCTGCGAGGTGAATTTTTCTGGACTATTTTTGCGCTGGCTCAGTTATCAGTGATCCTCAGAGCAATGGAAGCGGACTTCGTCATAGGGATCCTAAACCCTGCAAACCCCCCCAAAACCCCAAGAAGCCCTACAACCCCTAAACCCTATAAAACCTAGAACCCCGATTATCCGTAAACCCTAAACCCCTATACGCCCTAAACCCTAAACCCCTATAAACCCTATAGCACCTATAACTTAACCCTAAACCCCACCCTAAACCCTGCACCCCTATAAACCCTATAACACCTCTAAACCCTAAACCCCTATACGCCCTAAGCCCTAAACCCTAAGCTCTATAACACCTCCTAAACCCCTATACGCCCTAAACCCTCAACCCCGGCAGGCCTTTTGTCTGAGCCGCCTCCACATCTTGCCATGCGACCAACACCCACCGGCGGTGGACCACTTCTCAGTCGGCAAGGGGGCGTCGAAATCTGAACCCCCCCACCCATGCTAGCACACTCTAGGGGCGTGGGGTTCCAAGGGGTTTAAGGTTTATAGGATTTGGGTTTTAGGGTCTAGGGTTTAGGGCTTACTCTAGATGCATCTCAACACGGCAAACTACTCTAAGGTGCATCTGAAGACCCTCAGGACTCTAGATACCCTGGAAGTCCTGGTGGCCCTGAGACCCCCTGCAATTCCCTGCGGAGCCCGGAGCCCTACTTGCCACCTTATGCGCAACCAAGGGTTTAGAGTTTAGGGTTCAGGGTTTAGGGTTTAGGGTTCGGGGTTAGGGTTTAGGGTTGAGGGTTGAGGGCTCAGGGTTTAGGGTTTAGGGCCATAAGATGGAGAGCAAGGCACTGGTGGATTGGATGCACCAGACGAGTGCGTACCTGCGGTGGACGAGGCATCGTCTGGAGGGGGTTGGGGATTCTTCGGGTGTCGGGTTTACTGTAAACCCTTAGGCCCCTAAACCGAAACCCCCGAAAGCCCATGAAAGTCCCCTACAGCCACTCAAAGCCCCCTAAACCCTCTAAAACCAAAACAGGCCCCTGTGCGACTCCCTGGGCCTCCACTTGGAGGTTCATGGTACTCAATAACCCAATTATCACTGTACGTATAGCCTATTTATAACCATACTAGGTCACTTAACAGGCTCATAAGTGGGTTGTAAGTACAGTTATAGTTGGGTTACAAGTACCAAGAACCTCCAAGCGGTGCCCTCCTTCAAGACCAAGATGCTTGCGATTTGCGGACACGTAGGACACTCGGTCTGCGGCCGCGTCCGTGTGGCGAAGGTATCCTAGGGTTGGCCATATGAAACCCTCTGAAAGATCTTGCTAAACCATGCTCCCTCCTTGAGCCCAATAAGGGAAATGCTACAGTTTTTTAAGGGCCAACCTAGAATCTGGCGTTCAGATCGCCACGCTTGAAGCCAGAGAGGTCGAAAGCTTCCAAGTTGGCTTGCTTCAGGGGGTAAAGATCCCGTGGGGCATGTATCACGTGTAAGTCGCCTTCCGAGACCTCGTTGGTGAATCCTTCGTTGAGCTTGTTGGCAGTTTGCAAGACCCACTCCTCATCGAAGTCTGCCAGGTGCACAATAATCGCAGTTGCTGCTTCTTCCAGATCCAAGACGTTAAACAGCCTTGACAAGGTGATCTCCAGATACGACGCCTGAGGGCAACAGGGTGCTGTATTTATAGTAACAGTGAAAAGAAGAATAGTAGCAATAAAGACAATCATAATCATACTATAATAGTAGCAATAATGTAGGTGGATTGCTCACAGTGAAGCATGTGGAGACCTTGGCACCCCTTCCTTTTGATCATTTCAGAACTTCGCTTCAAGTGTTCACTAGCGAGGAGGATGCCCGAAGCATGAAGCACGAGTGAAAATGCCTTGGGCCGCTTGATGGAGGACATCCCGAATGTAAGCCAATGGCCAGCCTGGGGCATCTCCTTGCCAGACACAAGATCGCAAGGCTGTGTGGCGGCCGAGTGTCGCACCGTTGCTCTCTACGTTGCTTTTACCGCGGCACCGTGTCTGCTGAAATCGGAGCAATGAAACAAATCGAGTCGGCTAGGGTCTCGAGTCTCCAGCAGAGGCAAGTCGCTCTAAGCTAAATTCCTTGCAGAGTTGGAAAAACGATACCACTAATAACGTGCTATGCGTGAGCCACCAAGATGAGCATAGGTTGGCATGTTCCCCTCATGCTAACAGTCCTTCATAGGGATTATAGTACCCCCTATCATACTTCCCATTATGCACTGTCAGTCAACAGGGGAACATCACAATGTTGAACTTAAGTCGGGTGACAGACTAATGCGTATGATTACGCAGCAGGTTGTGCCGCTGTCGACTCCCAGTCCAAGCAAAAAACACGCAACCCTTCGGGAGTACTGGGGAGTATGGCCAAAACCCTAAACCCTAAACCCTAAACCCTAAACCCTGAACCCCTAGAACCCCTATGGAAACCTTGGAGTGCGTACCCCCTTGAACCCCCCCCTGTCCTCTGCACTGGGCAGCAACCTCCTCGGTTCGCAACAGAGTCTGAGAAGCTGCCAGCCATGAAAGGAAAAACTCTGAAACTCATTGCCATGCACTATCACTTCTTAGGCCTTAGTCTTATTGTAATTGTTGTAGCTTGTTTTTGTTGATTAGTTTTAGGGTTGTTGTTATCGTTATGGTTCTGGTTATTGCATGCTATGTTCGAGAAGTATTCTCTGTACCTACCTACTGTACCTATGTTCGAGAAGTATTCTCTGTACCTATCTACCGTACCTGTACAAACCTCCACTCATTCTGGCATTGTCTTTGCTGAGTGGCAAAGAGGCCGGTGACAACTTTGCCAGTGGGTTGCCAAGATCTTTCCACGCCATGGAATCCTGCGCAGCGCTTCTGCCCCTACAGCGTTCGAACACGAGCTCCGAACTCAACACCTTCTTGGCTCTTTTCGGCGTTCAGCATGGGATTCCATGAGCCCTAAACCCTAAACCCTAAACCCTAAACCCTAAACCCTAAACCCTAAACCCCAAACCCTAAACCCCAAACCCCAAAACCCCAAACCCTAAACCTCCCCCCCCCCCCCCCCCGGGACTCCTCCGGCTCCAACGTGCCAGTGTGCCCCAAGCAGCCACTGAATCCCGGAGCCAGGCTCGCGGGCTTCAGCGAAATCCGGGGCCTTCGGTTCGCTGCTCAGCTTCGGGAAGAGCCCAAAGACAGTCCAAGGGAGTGGGAGGTGCGTTTGTCAACAGTGAACGGCTACAATGCTCCTCGTTCTGCTGCCCAGCCCTACTTGACAATGGGCTGGGATTCTGCCAGGAAGGGGGGAAGGGCGGAGCTTCAGAACACCTACCTTGAAGATCTGGATGCCCTTATCTCGTAGGGATCCGGCTGGCTAGGCATCTCTGGCGCGGCATTGCTGTCGGGGGGAAGGGACAGCACCACCAGCAACACCTGGAGACGGGGCGTTCGGGCTTTCGGAGGCAATGTTTGCGAAGTGGCTTGCATACCACTTCCCTGAAACTAGCAGTCCTTAAGTTTTATTGGGATTATCATAGGGGGTACTGTAATCCTATTAAGGACTCTTAATATACGGGGAACATCCCAGTGTACCACATGTACAGGCAGGGTTGGTGAGGTCTTTGTGTGAAATTGATCTTGTCCGCGGGCCTGGTTCAGCAACATCGCGCATGTTGCCAGCAACAGGCAGAATCCGTTGAAACCTGGCCACAGCGAAAGTACGGCCAGAAGCAAAAAAGAAAACACCGCAGCAAACGCAAATTGGCTTGAACAAGCCTAAACCCTAAACCCCAAACCCCAAACCCTAAACCCTAAACCCTAAACCCTAAACCCTAAACCCGCGACACGGCCTGCGGCACGCTCCTTCGGCATGGCCTTTGCCTCAAAAATCCAAGTTGTTCAAGAAGCGCTAGGAGCTTCAAGGTACCCAAAGAGCCCAATATCCCTTAATCAGGGAGTATTCCTTAATCTATATAGGGATCCTGAATATGATTTAAGGGATATTCCTTAATCAAGGCTATTTGCTTCAGAAACCCAAAAGAGTAAAACAGTCCTTCATCAAGGCTATTTGCTCAAGAACCCCAAAAGAGCAAAAAACAATAATCCCTATATTGACCTGAGAAGGGAGAATATATATATATATTTTTTTTTTTTTTTTAAGTCTTTTGGGGGTTCTTAAGCAATTAATTCGTGCTCAAGGTATAGAGGCTTTGCGGATGAGCAATGACTGAAGAAGCCCTAAGCCTTACAAGCCCTGAACCCCTAAACATTCATGGAGTTTTTCTTCAGTAGATTCTGATGGCTTACTGGCAGTATGCTTCAGGGTGGTTTCGGTGTTTCTGGGCCTGTCTTCGGGGCTGAGGCTAAGCTGAGCAGACCCTGGGACGGGACCTTTTTTCCTGAGAGCAGGAGGGGGGCTTCCTGAGTGTGTGGACCGGCCGGTCGTCACTGATTGCAGCTGGCACAACTATGCTCTCTTGCCCTGCAGTGGGGCATCGACTCTGCTCGGATGATCTTGAGGGTCGTGCGCAAGTGCAGAAGCGCCCGTGCACAGGTCTTCGTCTCAGGTTTGCCTGGTGCTCAGAGCGCCCTCGCTGTCATTCTGCTGTTTCTTGCTGCAGGCCTTCTTCCTTGTCCACGAGTTGTGATCCTGTCTCAAGTTCTCTAAAGGGGCTGCTTCTGTTGGGCCTTCGTCGTCGTCGGCTCCTTCGATTCTGACTTGGCAGTCTCTCCCCCAAGTGGAAATAGTGGAACAACTTTTAGGGTCTTTTGGGTGGATGTTGAGGGGTCTCGAGTTTGCAGGATTCAGGGCGTTTAAGGGTTTGAAGGTTTTTGAGGCTTCTTCCTTGCTACTGCCATTGGCGTCCTTGCAGCGTGGCAAATAAAGTCTACTGGCCAGTTTCGCAGCTCCGTTTTGCAAAAGGCAGGGCGGCATTCATCCTTGGTACTTCTCTTCATATTTCTAGGTTCGGGTGGCAGATACTATGGCTGCCAGCCCTTCAAACCACCTACATCCCGCACCTTGAACACCCTAAACCCTAAACCCTGAACCCTAAACCCTAAACCCTAAACCCTAAACTGCTGGGCCAACCCTACATCCAGTAGCTGGTCCACCGCTCAAGCTATCTCAAGCCAGACGAGATATCGGGCCTATACTTTGCCCCATACCCTGGCTTTAGGGTTTAGGGTTTAGGGTTTGGGGTTTGGGGTTTGGGGTTTGGGGTTTGGGGTTTGGGGTTTGGGGTTTGGGGTTTGGGGTTTGGGGTTTGGGGTTTGGGGTTTGGGGTACTTTCCCGCAGTGCAAAGGGCCGACAGCCATGAAGCCTCACGACCCTGATACCACTGCAGCGGCTACCGCAATACCCCGTAAAGTGTGGGCCCTAAACTCTAAACTCTAAACTCTTATAAACTCTAAACCCTAAACCCTAAGCCCTAAGCCCTAAACCCCCCAAACCCCCCAAACCCCCAAATCCCACAAACCCCTCAACCCTTCCGACGGAGCTTTCGAACACAAGCAAGCCGTAAAAGACCTTAAAAAGTAAACGCCACCACCACTTCAACGCGTCCTCATGAGGCCTAAACCCTGAATCCTGTAAACCCTAAACCCTATAACCCAAAAAACCTATAATAAACCCTAAGCCCTAGACCCTACAGCCTCTAAAACATACTCAACTGCCTGAGTTGAAGCTGCGGGCTCAGGCACCAGATTTCATGGAAGACATGGCATCGGAGAAGCCCACAAGAGCATGAGCGATTGCAGGTTGATAAGGGTATAGGGGTGTTTGTGATTCTCCGTTTCTGCGGATGTGGAAAAATCTTGTGTGTGTTTTTGTGCTTAGAAATAGATATGCATACAGATATATACCTGTATATGTGTATGTATGTGTATATATAAATATAAGTAAATAACAAACAGTATATATATATATATTTATGTATTTATATTTATATATAAAAGGAGAATCTTATTGCTTGGATGCTGCTCTTCTGCTTCTCCTGGAACCTGGAGCTGAAAGGAAAGATCACCGCTTCTTGGGTTTAGGGTTCACCGTGGCGCACCAGCACCCTAAACCCTAAACCCTAAACCCTAAAACCCCCAAACCCTAAACGATGATGTTGGGGGTCTCCGTGCAGGAGCCAACAGCAAGCAGATGGCGACCTCTGCGGGGGCTGCCAACAGCAGAGGGCCTCGGTTTTGCCAGGATTTAGAGTTTGTCGAGATAGGGAGTCGGGGGATGTATGGTGCAATGTATAACGTCGCCCCCCCATCCCGGTCCCCTTTGGGGGGGGGGGGGGGGGGTTGTAGGGTTTAGGGTTTTAGGGTTTTAGGGTTGAGGGCTTTAGGGTTTTGAAGGTTTTGTGGGGTTTGCCTGATTAAGGTCTTGTAAGGGTTTTGAGGGTTTGGTTTAGGGTTGCAGGTTTGATGGCGTAGGGCGTAGGGGTTACGGTTTTGAGTTTTAGGTCTTGGCATTGTCGGGAATAGGAAACAGGGTACGTGAGGGTTTTGAGTTGACCCTATCCCCCCTACCCCACAAGGGGTGCTGACGCGTGACACGGCACCATTTGGGGGTTTCGAAAGTAGGGGTACCTTATTGGGGTCCTCATGATCAGGGAATCCTACCATTTGGGGTCTATATTGGGGGTCCCCTACTTGCGTAAATCCCCAGTTACAAACCCACCTCCAAAACTCTGAAACGCCTCAGCTATACTCCCCTTAGAACCCTAATAAAAATAATATTCTTAAATATCCTCTTGGGCTTTATATAAACAAAAATAACAAATTCACAAGGGGGATATAGTCAGCTTGGCAAGTGGCTCAGGCTCAAGGCCGTCAGATCCGGAGCCTGCCTCTGATGTCTTGTTGCCTGGAGCGATCCGGAAATTTCCACCTATCTTGGGCCTCTCCTCTACCCAAAGGCGAACACAAGGACTTAGACGAAGACAGAATGCTGTAATGCTGGACAGCATCCCACGTACAAAGTCCCTAAACCCTAAACCCTAAACCCTGTACCTTGAGCCACGAACACTGCTCCACAAAGGCATCAGAACAGCACGAAGATAGTTTGAAAGACCAAAAGCAGGGATCATGTGAGAGTGGCTGCATGGGGAAAGTGGTTTGACGAAGACGGGAGAATTTGCACGAACCTGTACGAATGTTTGTCTGCTGTCTGGCTTCTGCGCGCCCCCATCCGGGCCAACATCTGCTTGCACGCTGCTTGAGTTTGCCACCAAGACAACACCACATAAATGCGCGTTCCTCGGCCAAGTTTCTTTTCAAAGTGAAAATGAGGAGAGGGCTCGGTGGCATGTCTAAATTGCTGCGGATGTAGTGTGCATCGCCGTGTCATAGCAGCGCAGCTGTCCTTCATCGTGATCCAAAAAAACCAACACCAGGCAAACACAAATGGTAGGCAGACAGTGAGATAGCCCTCGATCCAGTTGTAGGTGTCGGTTGCATATTATTGCTACTGCTCGCGAAAACACCGTAAGCCCAACCCCAAACCCCAAACCCAAAACCGTAGACGCCAAGAAACATGCACTATCCACGCCTCCAAAGGAGCAACGAAGACCTTGGCAGACCTTTGTGCAATGTGCAATTCATGTCCAATCGCGAAACATCACTAGCACCGGCCTGCACTCATGGTGCAGATTTTGAGTAACAACATGTGTCTATATATATATATACATACATAGATTCTATAATCTACGATCTAATATCTACTATATAGATATATGATCTTGATCAAGAGGCAGGAACTACAGATTGCAGCTTCTCAGTCCAAGCAAGTCAATCGTCACATGCATATCTGCAAACTGCAAACTTGAACAACTAAATTACTTTACTTCGAACATCCCCACCCTCTCTTGGTAGGTTGGGCACTCAGGGAGACTCTGGCGTTGGGAGGGAGACTCTGGGGCTGGGCACTCCAGGATTGGGCACTCCCGAGTTGGGCGGAGAATCTGGGGCTGGGCACTCCGAAACACTCTAGGGTTGGGCACTCCAAGGAGACTCTGGGGCCCTGGGGTTGGGCATTTGAGGGAGGCTCTGGGGCTGGGCACTCCGGGATTGGGCACTCCTTGGCTCCGAGGCCGCAATTCAGGCACACTCCAAGGTTGGGCACGCCAGGGAGACTCTGGGGTTGGGCACTCCGGCTGGGCACTCCAGGGAACTCTGGGGTTGGGCACTCAGGGATCAGCGAGGAGTAGACCGGGCGAGGAGAGAGCCCTGCACGACGAGAAGAGTTGAGTTTAAAATCTAACAACCCCACACCGAGGGTGGTGAAAAACAGATGGACAATGACCAACATACCCCTCAACCCTATAAGACACGAAACTTGGGATGTTCCCCCTTATACTAACAGTCCTCAGTAGGGGATTATGGTACACCCTATTGGAATGAATCCCTAGTAAGGAGGGATGTTCCCCCCGTATACGAATACTAACAGTCCTTAATAGGGGGATTATAGTACCCCCTATTGGAATGAATCCCTAGCAAGGACTGTTACCTAGTAGGCCAGTAACCATATTCAAATAAGGGCACCCTTTTTTGGTTGGTTACTTTCTTAGGGAACCTTGTACCTAAAAAAAGAGTAAAGGGCACTACTGGGCTACTACGGTTAGTACAAGGCCCAACCCTAAACCCTAAACCCTAAACCCTAAACCCTAGACCCTAGACCCTAAACCCTGATCCCAAGATTCAACGGCCACTAGGTCTCAGGCGCACCAGCTGCGGCGAGGCCCAACACCGCAGCGCCCAAGCATCTGGGCCGACATTCGCAATTAGGGTTTAGGGTTTAGGGTTTAGGGTTTACCTTATTGGGGTCCTTATTGTAAGGGAATCCTGCTATTTGGGGGGGTCTATATTCGGGGTCCTTCATTTTCGAAAACCCGCAGCGTCTTTATCATACAAGAGCTTACAGAACAATTACCAAGGATCTCTCCTCATAATATTCCTGTAACAACATATTGTATCTTATCCCCTTAGACCCCGTCACTACAACCGCATATAATCCCCGTATCCATCCCTGCATCTTTCAAGCATGAACTCGTAGGCCCTATACCACACCCTAAACCCTAAACCCTAAACCCTAAACCCTAAACCCTAAACCCTAAACCCTAAACCCTAAACCCTAAACCCTAAACCCTAAACCCTAAACCCTAAACCCTAAACCCTAAACCCTAAACGCCTGCGCCGGTGCGGCAGCGGGCGCCGACTGGCCTCTTCGAAGTGCATTGCCAATATTACCACAGACCTTTAAGTACATAAATGTTATGTAGTACTGATCTATTTTCGTTACAGACTGTATACACTGAATATTAGGTCCTAGGCTCTATCGTGCTTATGAAATAACATTACATAAACACCAATGAAAACACAAGTAAGTACAGTATATACACATACAGAATATTTGCATGTGTCATGATGAGTTTTAACAAAATACAGACACACACACACACACATATGCGTACGTGCGTGTACATACAAAGACACATGCATACACGCAGAACTGCAAATGCCCGCTGCTCCTGTGGTGGCTGTTGGGGGCTCGCTCGGGCACCCTCAGCTTCGGTGAGCACATTTCCCGCTCTCCGGCCTGCTCGACGCGCATGGTGGCAGCTAGTTGGACTCGGCCTTGTCCCCGTGGCTTAAAAAACAAAACTGAGCAGGCCCAGCATGGCCATGAGCCGGCGAAGGCAGGAAAACGTATGTCATGGGCTTCCCTAGGCCCCCAATTATGGCAGTTTATTGGTGATTCAAGTTTTGGGCTTGCTTAAGGTTTTAGGGCCTTTAGGGCCTGTGTGAACGACACGTCGCCGGCGTCCAACCGTGAGTCTGCATCGGAGCATATTTATCTGTTTAGATCACCCAACTCGGAATAAGAATGCACTCATGCAAGAAGCTGGCTTTTACGTTTGCGGCAGCCTTTGTCACTTCCCTCCTAAGAGACGTCATCTAAGATGCTGACTTGCGCCACTATTCCGCCGCAGCTCAGGGGTGGGTGAGTCGAATCGTCAAACCTGGTCGGTATACGACGCAGGGTGCGGAAGATGTCATGATCAGGAGGGGTCCGGAGGAGGTTCTGGGTTGCTTAAGAATGTTGGGGTCTGCGGTGCAACGCAACTGTGTGGGTGAGAAGCTTGCCTTCAGCTTGTCGTTGTGGTCATTTGGTTGTAGACGACCGGTATGCCAATGATAATGGCCACCATGACGCAGTACCTGGTCCAGCGGACGCTTCATGACATCAACTTCAGTGAAGCCAACTCGTCCAATCCCACATGAACACGGAGCTTTCATCCTAAACCCTAAACCCTAAACCCTAAACCCTAAATCCCCCAAAGAAGTCCCAGCAAGCTGGGACTCTGGGGCCGCAGCTTGATGCCCATGCTGGGACGGTAGCACGCGTAGGCAGCCTTACAGTCGGAACGTCGAGCTGTGCCCATCATGGCTACTGAGGAGGCCTACTGAGAGTTGGACTTCCTGTCAAATAGGGTAGCGCCAGCACTGACTCCGTCGTCGTCGTAGTACTAGTACTAGTACGAGTACAAGTACAAGTACAAGTACGAGTACTAGTACGAGTACTAGTACTAGTACTAGTACTAGACTAGTAGTAGTAGTAGTAGTAGTAGTAGTAGTAGTAGTAGTAGTAGTAGTAGTAGTAGTAGTAGTAGTAGTAGTAGTAGTGGTAGTAGTAGTAGTAGTAGTAGTAGTAGTAGTAGTCGTAGTAGTAGTAGTAGTAGTAGTAGTAGTAGTAGTCGTAGTAGTAGTAGGAGAAAAGCGCGCCCCCAGGCGCCTGGTAGTTTGGTGCGTTTTGGTGCGTTTTTTGCTATTGTTGGGGGGGGGGGGGGGTGGGGGGGGGGGGTGGGGGGGGGGGGTGGGGGGGGGGGGGTGGGGGGGGGGGGGGGGGGGGGGATAAGAACATCATTCATATTGCATAACATACCGTGCAAGGTTGTGGAACAAGACACGTTGTCACAAGCGTCCATGCCTTTTGCGACCATGCCCAAAACACTGGTGTTTACGCCCAAAACACTGGTATATACAGCATTTCCGCCGCTTTGTACAACATACTGCGGAAGGATGTGGAACAAGAAAAGCATTCACAAGCGTCCTTGCCTTTGGCGACCATGCCCAAAACACTGGTATTTACAGCGTTTTTGTTTCTACGGGCTGCAGACTTGACCTTTAGAACAGGGACCGGCATACGGCAACACATCGCTTCCAAACCCTTCCTTTCCCTTGCCCGCGATACCTTTTCGGTCTGTACCGGAAATGACGCAAAACACCAATGTCCGGACGTTCAGCCGCAGCAAAAGGACCAGGCGCCCTGAGGCGCGCTAGCCTAGTAGCAGTAGCAGTAGCAGTAGCAGTAGCAGTAGCAGTAGCAGTAGTAGTAGTAGTAGTAGTAGTAGTAGTAGTAGTAGTAGTAGTAGTAGTAGTAGTAGTAGTAGTAGTAGTAGTAGTAGTAGTAGTAGCCAGCGGCGCTTTAACCGTACACACTTTTTAACACACTTTTAACCCTTCTTGTCACCTTCTGAGTGTGCACAGCTTCTTCTTGCACACTTCTTCCGTTTCAGGGTACACTGTCTTGCTTCTGCCTCCAAATTCTTTTCGCTGGAGTTTTGGGCTCCAGTTAGCATGGAGACGCCGCCGCGACGGGCCCGGCATGTCGAGGTGAGCCCTCGCACTGATAACGTCCGTGTTGCCAGTCCGTGCGAGTGGCCAGAGCATCCATGCCCGCACGATGATAACGTCCGTGTTACCAGTCCGTGCGAGTGGCCAGAGCATCCACGCCCGCACGATGATAACGTCCGTGTTACCAGTCCGTGCGAGTGGCCAGAGCATCCATGCCCGCACGATGATAACGTCCGTGTTACCAGTCCGTGCGAGTGGCCAGAGCATCCATGCCCGCACGATGATGACGTCCGTGTTACCAGTCCGTGCGAGTGGCCAGAGCATCCATGCCCGCACCATGATAACGTCCGTGTTACCAGTCCGCGCGAGTGGCCAGAGCATCCATGCCCGCGCGATGATAACGTCCGTGTTACCAGTCCGTGCGAGTGGCCAGAGCATCCATGCCCGCGCGATGGGACGTGTTACCAGTCCGTGCGAGTGGCCAGAGCATCCATGCCCGCACGATGATAACGTCCGTGCGAGTGGCCAGAGCATCCATGCCCGCACGATGATAACGTCCGTGTTACCAGTCCGCGCGAGTAGCCAGAGCATCCATGCCCGCACGATGATAACGTCCGTGTTACCAGTCCGTGCGAGTGGCCAGAGCATCCATGCCCGCACGATGATAACGTCCGTGTTACCAGTCCGTGCGAGTGGCCAGAGCATCCATGCCCGCACGATGATAACGTCCGTGTTACCAGTCCGTGCGAGTGGCCAGAGCATCCATGCCCGCACGATGATAACGTCCGTGTTACCAGTCCGTGCGAGTGGCCAGAGCATCCATGCCCGCACGATGATAACGTCCGTGTTACCAGTCCGTGCGAGTGGCCAGAGCATCCATGCCCGCACGATGATAACGTCCGTGTTACCAGTCCGTGCGAGTGGCCAGAGCATCCATGCCCGCACGATGATAACGTCCGTGTTACCAGTCCGTGCGAGTGGCCAGAGCATCCATGCCCGCACGATGATAACGTCCGTGTTACCAGTCCGTGCGAGTGGCCAGAGCATCCATGCCCGCACGATGATAACGTCCGTGTTACCAGTCCGTGCGAGTGGCCAGAGCATCCATGCCCGCACGATGATAACGTCCGTGTTACCAGTCCGTGCGAGTGGCCAGAGCATCCATGCCCGCACGATGATAACGTCCGTGTTACCAGTCCGTGCGAGTGGCCAGAGCATCCATGCCCGCACGATGATAACGTCCGTGTTACCAGTCCGTGGGAGTGGCCAGAGCTTGAAAGAACATATGCCGCAGAACTTGACAGCGCCAAGCGGAAGGTCCTTCTTACGTACGTGCGTAGCTTTCAGTGGCGTCAGCGGCACGCTCGCCTTGACTTGCTGTTGCAAAGCACAGGCCGTCGCCTCCAGAAGATGCGTGCCTGACAGCTGGCATTGTTTGCGTGTGAAAACCCATGCGTTTGCACGTTTCAGCCTTAAACGGAGACATGTTTTTTAACCAACAAAACAGAGCTGCCGCCTCGGCGAAACGCGTGTTTTATGGACAACAAGGGTACAGTTTGCGCGCCGCCGGGTAGTAGTAGTAGTAGTAGTAGTAGTAGTAGTAGTAGTAGTAGTAGTAGTAGTAGTAGTAGTAGTTAGTAGTTGCTACTGCTACTGCTACTGCTACTGCTACTGCTACTGCTACTGCTACTGCTACTGCTACTGCTACTGCTACTGCTACTGCTACTGCTACTGCTACTGCTGCTACTGCTACTGCTACTGCTACTGCTACTACTACTACTACTGCTACTACGACTCTACTACTACTCTACTACTACTACTACTACTACTACTACTACTACTACTACTACTACTACTACTACTACTACTACTACTACTACTACTACTACTACTACTACTACTACAATACCTACTGCAACAAAGCCAATGTAAACTACTGCACAGGAAGACATTACTACAATGTTTGTATGTCATAAACACAAGGTTTGCACGCGCTCTGATGCGTTGCGGCTGCTTCTTCGGAGATTTCCTCAATGAACTAGCTCTTGGGCAATAGATTTCAACATGGCGCCCGACAGATGAGAAGCCTGCAATGCAGCTTATCAGATGTAATATACAATATATAAAATACATATACCATCTACTCATATATATATATACATATATATATATACATATGTAGAGCGAGAGGGAGAGAGAGAGAGAGAGAGAGAGAGAGAGAGAGAGAGAGAGCCTTTTAAAATCTTTGAAATCATTCAAATTTAATTTGGGGGGAGGGGGGGGGGGGGCTTTCAAATGTTTAACATCTGTAAATTTCAATTGGAGGACCCATTTAAATTTCAAGGGCGGGGGGGGGGGTCCTTTTAAAATCTCTAAAACCCTCAAAATCATTAAAACCCTATAAAATCTTTAAAATTTATTGGGGGCCCCATTCAATTTTTGAAGGGGAGGCCCCTTTCAAATTAAGGGGGGGAGGCCCCTTTTGAAACCTTTAACATCGTTAAAACACCTTGAAAATTTAATAGGGGCCCGAATAAAATTTAAAAGGGGGGGGGCGTTTTACATCTTTAAAATCTTTGAAATTGAACTGGGGGCTCCATTTAGATTCGAACGGGGAAAAATCTTTCAAATTTATTTAATTTTTAACGGGGAGGTCCCTTCTGAATCAAAAGCTTTAAAATCATGAAGATTCATTGGGCGGCCCCATTAACTTTTTTCACGGGGGAGCCCCTTTGTGCCTGCAGTATGACGTGTTTTGCATATATATATATATATATATACATACATATATATATAGCGTTTTTTTCATATAATATATATCCGCCGACCCCCTTTGTCGGCGTCAAGAAGCTGGACTCGTACCTTGCCCGCTGGACCCGCTAGTGGGCTTCCCCATGGACCCGCGCGGCTTGCTTCCGCGTATTGTAACCCACCTCCATACCGCGCGTTTTGTGACCCATTTCCCAACCCCGCCCCCAACCCCCCCCCCCCCCCTCCACCCGAGCCAGAAAAAATAATGTTTGGGAAGCGGTAGTGGGCGGAACCACGCGTTTTGCAACCCGTTTCCCTACCCCCCGCCAGCCACCCCTCCCCCCCCCCCCAACCTCCGTTTTGGAAGGCAAACGGGTGGAACCACACTTCCCTACCCCCCCCCCTCCCTCACCTCCGGCCTTCCACAGTTGGTTGTTTTTTCTGGCTCGGGTGGAGGTTGGGTAGGGAAACGGTTTCAGGGGAGGTCCGCCGTTTCCCTACCCCCCCCAGCCGCCCGCCCCCCAACCCGCCCCCCCACGGCCCCCGCATTTGGTGTTTTGGAAAACGGATTGGAACCACGCATTTTGGGAGCCGTTTGCTTCCGTGGACACAACCTTGGGACCAGGCCGCAGCAGCACTCAGAACTCAATGTGCCCAAGTCAAAGATCATGGACCTACAACTAACCAACAGCATGTTCGTGAGAGAGCTGTTCGGGGGTGGATGGGCGGGGTGGGGGGCGAGGGGTGCAAGAAAAGAAGAGGCCAAGATGCGCCAGCGCCAGCGGCCGCAGCGGCCGCGGGCGCGGCCCTCGATCTGGCGCTTCACCTTCTCCGCCTCCCAGGGTCCATTCATACACATAATCATTGCAAATGCTCAAAACATGTTACATTCTTAATATCAATGTTTCATATCACATCTTGTCTGATTTTTAAGAAGAGCCGACCTTTTTTTGCGAGCGCCTGCTAGCTGGGTTCGGCTCGCAGTAATAGCCGCTCCAGCGCGGCCGAGGGCCCATGGCGTTGGCCGTGAGGGTTTTAAGATTTATAGGGCATGACTTTCCAGACTTTGGCCGGCAGGTGCACGAGCTTAGGACGCTGAAATGTGCAGGCAGCTGAAGTGCCCCGGCTGAGGGTTAATGCCTGGTTAGCCAAGATCATGAACCGGATCAAAACACCGAACACGGCAGAGCTGGAAGCACACAGCCTTCCTGTTCTACCTGTAAGTATGTATGACGACAACTAAATTAGCGAATGACAGTGTGTTGCATTTTCTTATATGTCGACTGCTGTTTGTTCTGATGCATGATTGCCATGCTGGATTCATTTTGTTGCTACAATCTCGTATCTCTCACATAACAGGCAATCATGAATTTTGGGCACACGCGTTCATGCATTTTTTACGAACACCAGACAGAGGCACTTGTGCGTAACATTCGAGCCGGCTGTCCTCCTCTTGCTGTTTCGATCTCGAGCCGCAGGATGAAGGTGAGTCTCGGCACCTGGCACGCAGAGAAACCCCTGGCACTGTGACACTGTGCCCTAAAACTCCCGAAAGAAATTGCCCGACGTTAACCAGACCTGTGATTGTGAGCCCATCCGCCTCACTCCACAGGGGCTTGTTTAGCTCTTTCAGGGGTAGGGTGTTTTGCGGCTTTGAATTACAGGCGCGAGCAGGAAATGAGTTGGCTGCTTCCGTGACTCTAGGTAGATGGAATTCTGTCTGCATTTCCAAGCACTTCCAAGATGTGGCAATCTGAAGGGGAGCCTGCTCCGGTCAATGCAAACTCCTGGCATGCTTTGCAGATCTTTGCAGCTCATCCCGAAGGTACTCTGTGATTTTGCCTCGGTCTTTGGAGTCGTTCCTTACATCGGACACTTGGCGTCGTGGAAGGCATTTAGTGTTCAATCCCTGGTACACGGGGGTTTACGACCAGGGGCCTTAACATAGGCCCCGAAATGGTAGGATTCCCTCATAACAAGATATAATAAGGACCCAAGTCTGTGCGGACATTGGGCGCCGTGGTGTGCGCTAGCCATTGTTCGGGGACCACCTGCCCGTCTGCTCCAAATGCTTCCCGGGCCACACGCCCCCACGCCCGTTCCAGGGTCTTCACCAACAAGCCGGTTCCCTTCCCTCGAAAAAACAACAAGCGGCTGGGAGCCGTTTCCCTACCCCCCCCCCCCCCCCCCCCCCCCCCCCCCCCCCCCCCCCCCCCCCCCCCCCCCCCCCCCCCCCCCCCCAACAGGAACCGCAAACAAAATCACCAAACCCCAAACCTTAAACTTGTTCTCCTGCGGGGTCGGCGGCTTGAGCCGGAGGCTCCTAAATCCGGCCCCCGCGCCGCCCGTGGTCCAGGGCGGAGCCCGCGTCGCACTAAAGCGCTAGCTTTAAGGGGCGAGCGCCCGAGCCGCCGACCCCGCCCAAAATTGCTTCAAATTCGCGCGGGGCCCTTCGGGAGGCCTCCAAAACGGCATCCAAGGGGCGCAACACGCGGTGGTGCGAAAAGCACGAAAACCTCGTAAAAACCATGGGTTTTTACGAAAAACCGAGGCCACAAAACACCCGCAGCACCCCATTAAACCCTCACGGGCGCGCATCATCGGCCCTAGCTTTTCACATGGGGCGCGCGCCAGGCCGAAACCACGTTTTTCAAGGTTTGGGGGGGGGTACCGGAAGCCCAAAACCAGGCGAGCATCATGAGCATCAGCAGCCTGGCCCGCGGGCCCAAGGCAATAAAAAACGCTGAAAAACGCTGAAATCACCGTAAATACCGTGTTTTTATGAGGTTTTTCACGCGTGCCTCCGACCCCCACCCCTGTTGCCCTTGACCCGCCCCCAAAGTGCGCATCATCGAAACCCACGTCCGGGGGGGGGTCTGCTGATGCTGCTGATGCGCGGGGCCCGGGCGCATCATCGAGCCATCGCTTCTCTTGGGCTTCGTGGGGGGGTCCGGGCCCACGGCCCAGAGACCCAGCTGATGCTCATGATGCTCGGTTTGGGGGGGTGTTCCAACAGCAGAAAACCTCGTAAATACCGAGTGTTTTGTGGGTCCACGTAAAAACGCCCCTAAAATCGCTCATTTTACGCGCTCGAACGGCTTCGTGCCTACAATACACCCGAACAGCAGGACCCCGAATGCCCTTAAGGGCATTCGGGGTCTTGCTTTTGGGGGTTTCGTGGGCACGCAAGCGTTCAAGCACATACAATCGGCGTGTTTAAGGGGGTTTTGGATGGCCTGGGGAGGCCGCTGATGCTCATGATGCTCCCTTTCCTGGGTCCCAAAAGGCTTCCCAAGCCCAAAAAAACGTGTTTACAGCGTTTTCTGAAGGTTTTTCGAAGGCAAAACGCATGCATAGAATGCTTTTAAGGCCCCCAAACCAACCCCACTGATGCTCCTGATGCGGGTGCGCGCGCGCGCGCGCGGGGGGGGGCGGGAGAGGGAGGGGGGGCGAAGGCAGGAGAAAGAGAGACAGAGAGAAGGAGAGGACAAAGACACGGGAAAGAGAAGACAGTGCCAAGGTTCAAGGTTTCGTGCTTTGGGGGGCGGGGGCCGGCCCGTGCCGCTAGGCCTGAATATATATATATATATATATATATATGTATATCAATGTTGATGTATTTAAAAGCATCCGTATTAATGTATGTAGCAGTTTGCACCCGCCATTGAGGGCCACGGCTGCAACGACGGTGGCCCACATGACCAGCGTCAGCATCAGCATGTTCAACGCGGTGGGAAGCCTAGGCATGCTCTGCTTCGCTGGGAAAATGGGTGCCAGGGTTTAGGGTTTAGGGTTTAGGGTCCACTTGGACGGTTTACGATTTATGCTTCAGGGTTTGGGGATGTTGAGGGTTGCGGATTTAGGGTTTTAATAATCTTGAACTTGAACATCACTTATGCATAGGACCGGCCCGCCTTGCAAGCCCAAGCCCCTCGAAGATACCATCCAGGACTGGAAGTGCGAAATGCAGAGCGGAGTACCTGATGAGACAGACTGCGGCAAGTTGCAGGACACAGGTTGGCAATGACCAAGCTGTATGTGGAGAATGCAGAGAGTGCAATGGCAATAATGTGGCATGCGCTTGCAAGTGCCAGGGCTGTTTTGCCACATGACAACATCGAGCTGGAATGCGCACGTTAGCAGCCATCCCAACAAGCGCCAATTCCACAGCAGGCAGGGGTTGCGAGAGACCGCCTCGACACATAAGACTCATGCAGGACGCAAGCCCGGCGCGGGCCACGCGAGAAGGACCCAGCGAGAATCTGACACGTGGGGGCCGCAATGCTGAGTGCGGATCTTTGCGGAAAGGCTTGTCGGGAGGGTCCATGGAATCTGAGATGTAGAAAATCTCCTGCCACGCTACTGTGCACCAGATGCGGAAGCCACTTGCGCACCTCCTGATCCACACTCAACCTGAAACCGATTGCCAGCCATTCCAAGTATTTGCAGTGATTCAGCAACTCGCATCACAAAGAAGCACAAGCATGCCCCCAACCACAAAAAGGTCCGTCACCTTCAAGCCACTGGACCCCTAAACCCTAAACCCTAAACCCTAAACCCTAAACCCCAAACCCTAAACCCCAAACCCTAAACCCTAAAACCTAAACCTCAAACCCTGAACCCTTGCTGCCCAAGGCTTCCTCGGTCACAACCTCCTGGGAGGTGAGGCACGCGAGCGTGTTGCCTTCGCTTTCACTTGCCAGCGACCCGAACATGAAGCTGTCCCTACATCCCCTTGCGACTGGGCGTGGCCAGATAAACCCCAAACCCCTAAAGCCCTAGACCCTAAATCCTAAACCAAAAACCCTAAACCCTATAAACCCTAAACCTAGAAACCCTTAAACCCTATGAACCCTAAACCCTAAACCCGAACTCCCTGAGGACACTGACGCTGAGACTGCTGGCCCGGTAGGCACACCAGCTCAGGACCTAACCCCTACATCTCCTAGGGTTTAGGGTTTAGGGTTTAGGGTTTAGGTTTTAGGGTTTAGGGCTCCTCTCGGCCCGGGTGCGAGGGGGGAAAAAGCGGAGGCACTGCTGGAGCCCTGCGAGAGTCTTGGGAAGGTCTGGCTGCTGAAGGCTGTCGATTGTCAAACGGACTATTCTCGCAGTTTGTGATAACTTTCAGATCAGCATCGCGCTGACTATGGTAGCGACTATTTCGTGCTTCTGGCCCTCACTTCAACAAAACGCTTGCCAGTTCGCATTTGTCAGTGGAAGGCTCAAAGGTTGGAGGGCTCAAGGAACGCCGTCGGCGTTCCGCACGCTCCATGTTGGTCCCTGCCGATTTCCGAAATGACCCATGGAAGGGACATTTCTCGGGCCCTTTGGGGTCTCCATTTTAGGCAATTTTGTTTATGGTGTTAAAATTTGGGGTGCCAAAAAAGGCCCGTGATTCAGAACAACCACTCATGTACCGGAACAATATTTGGGACGCGAAGATAACAGGCAGCAGATAACTTCAAATCGTTTGGGTGATGCAGAAACTGTTTTGAATCAACAACATGAGAGCTGAATTCCACACTAGGGTCTCTTTGTGCAGACCCTGTCTTGGTGGTGTCTGTATGGGGACCCTAGATAGAACGAATCCCAAAATGCAAGTATATGCAAGAACAGCCGCGCGCAAACAGCAAGCTAGCTGCTACTGAGCGGCAGGGGCAGCAGCAGCAAGTTGCGACCTGAGCCAGATGGATTTCGGAGAGACTGAAGAGGGCCCTGCGACATTTAGATGCCTGATGTTGTCAGGTGCTGCAATCAAAACGCAGACCGCTCCGGATGCTCGTCTGCTTGTGTATGTATGTTTGTGTGTGTGTGTCTTGAGACACGCGCACACACACACACAGAGACTCACTCACGTCACGTCTCAGTCTGGAGCTCCACCCGTGCAGCAGGTACCATCACGCCGCACTTCCTTCCGAGCCATTGGCTACATGAGTTGAGGCTCAAAGGCTCAGAAGGAACCTATAGGGGGGTGGAAGGAATGCATTCCCCAAATGAGGGCTTAATCACCCCCGAATAAGCCTTACGGTGACATAATCGGGGAATATGAGCCCCTTACACCGCCGCCCTCCTTCCACCCCTTGGGTTCCTTATGGAAGGCGTCTTGGGGTTTATAAGGCCTTAAGCATCGTGTCCGCAAAGCCTCGGCGCTGCGAGCGGTGGTATGGAACCGTAGGAGAGCCACAGGGACACAAGAAGCCACGATGCTGAAACTCCAACTTCGAGCCAGCTTGGAGTTCCCAGGGACCCCCACTCTTGCCTAAGGAATAATTACTTCTTATAAAGCATAGTAGGGAGCCTGATATGGTTCAAGGAATATTTGGCCCAACACCCATTGAAGAAGAGCCCGGTGTCAGGTTAGGTCGCAGGCCTTAGCTTCTGACGATTTGGGGGCTGCTAGCGCGAAGGGTTATTTAGTGGGGACATGTTGTTTTTTGTTCGTTTGGGGACAGCCTGAACATTCTTAAACCCTAAACCCTAAACCCTAAACACTAAACCCTACACCCTAAACCCTAAACCTACGCAAGTACACGTCACGGTCCCTCCAGGTCTTGTCGCCCTCCTCCACAAGCTTGAGCCGCTCCTCGCAGTTGATTCTTGCTTGGGTTGGAGAGCTGAAGGCCGAGGCATTTTTGTAGACCCGACACCCCTCCACCCCTCCCGCAGACGCCTCAGAGTACCTAAACATGGTACCCGACCACATCAAGGCTGCGTAATGCATGATGCTTCTGGGCTTCAAGCTGGGTTTGGGGATTTCTAGAACACCGCTTGCGCGCTGCAGGGGTTCTTGCTGCGGTCCCATGTTGCTGCTGTGCCCACCTGGCGCTCATCATCGCAGGGCGCTTGGGTGACCACGCGGTAGGGCACAAACGTCTCGAACTGGTCCTGGCAAAGCATTGCCTTTCACATACAGTAAGCTCATCATGCTCACATGAAGCATTCTTCGTGACATGTTCAGTGACATGCCTGAGAGTCTGACGTCAGCCTAGCTTGAAGCGAAGACTATAAGCCAAGCTAAGCTCGCACTATGGAGCAGGCCTTTCAGAGCACAGGCTGTCCTTCCGGCACTGCACGGCAACGACAGTGGCGTAACATTCAGGTGTGCAGAGGAACCTGGTGTCGGGGTCGTGGACGTTTCTACCGTGTTCCGCCATGCGTGCCCTGTATGACGAGAAGATCGCTACCTGCCCAACTAGCTGTTACCTTCTATGTTGTGATCACATCAGCCGGACAAATTTCCAACCAACATCGGCGCGCCTGACTCTCAGGTCGCCCACCTCATTCGAATCCGCGGCGTGATTAGCTTCATGGGGCAGCATGAGCAGTGTGCACATCAATGCGTGCGCTGCTGCGTGGCAAGACCCTCGTATCCTGCTGACGAGAGAACTCTTGGCTTTCGACCTGGTGTTTCTTGAACAGATCTGCCTGCATTGCGACACGTGCATCATCCGGACTGTGCTTCGCCACGCCAAGCCGTCACATCAAACATGCAAATCACTGTACCTTGGCCGCATCAGTCTTTCCGACAAATCCTGCACGGCCGTAGAAGAAGCCGTCCTGAAAGTTGATGGCATCGCAACTTGTGAAGCCGGTAGCTGATTGACTTTTGCGACGGTTGTCAGGGATGCAAGTTTGTGGCAGGGAGAGAGGGAGAGGGATGGAGAGGGATGGAGAGAGAGAGAGAGAGAGAGAGAGAGAGAGAGAGAGAGAGAGAGAGAGAGAGAGAGAAGATGGCAGAGGGCAGCGAGTGAGCAGAGAGCGCAGATAGAGAGAGAGGGGCAGAGACAGACTGCAAAGAAGGGGAGCGAGAGGGGGGAGACAAAGAGAGAGAGAGAGAGAGGGGGGGGAGGGAGGGAGGGGGAGAGAGAGAGAGAGAGAGCGAGAAAAAAAACGAAAGAGACAGAGAAATAGAAAGAAGAAGAGAAAGAGGAAAGAGAGAGAGAGAGAGAGAGAGAGAAAACAGAAGAGAGGAATTTAGACGGGGATCGAGAGGGGAAGAGAGGGTGGTGAGAGCGAGGGGGGAAAGAGACGGCAGAGAGAGAGAGAGAGAGAGCTGGACAACAACAACGAACGTCAAGGGCATTGGCTGCAATCGACATGAGCGAGTGCCTCGTTGTTCGCATGGAAGGTGATGCCCGCTGCGTGCACCTTCAGATATCATGCAGGTCCGCGGCCCCAGATGAGCTTGCTCAGCCGGTGATTCTCCATATAACCCCAAAACCCAAAAAACCCAAAAGCCTTTGGGCCTTGTAACCCGAATCCGCCCTAAAGTGCCCTTCTGGGGCCCATGCCCGCGCAGGCAGCTGATTGAGTGCCGGCTCAAATGAGCGGAAGTGGCTGAGCATCTCCTGGCAGGACTTAAGGGGGTATAAGGAGGGGCCCCCTAGAAGGGACCCTTGATCTTTTCCCCCATGTAAGCCCTAAGCCTATATATACCTTCTAGAGTTCCCATATACCGAAGTAGCCCCTAAAGAACCCCCTTAAAATAAAGCCCAAGGTCCCTTATAATTAGGAGTTCCTCCTTTAGTCCCTTGAAGGTCGCTACTCCAAGGGCTTACGAACCTACTGAAGCTGTATGTTTCAGGCTCACGGGTTAGAGTTTAGGGTTTAGTTTATGGTTTAAGGAGTTAAGGGTTAGGATACCAGGGTCCTTCAGAACCCCATACTGAAGCACTTGGAAGAATAGCGGGCACTCGAAGGCCGGGAAAATAGGGGAGGGATCTGCTGAGAATCGACTCTTTGTCCTACGGGGCTTGATGTCGCTGGCAACCTTTTTTAATCGTCAAGCGCATGTTGCGCAACAATGCGCCGGCCATGAACGTCCCGCAGGCTGGCGAGGACAACCACCTGCCGCACATGTTGATCATCCGAACAGCCGCGGCAAGAGTGATCACCTTCCCTAAACCCTAAACCCCCAGTGGCAGCAAAAGCCTCGTGACTCACGAGGCCGAACTGCTCGCAGTTCATCAGCACGTAACCTTACGTCTCTTTGGGGCGCGTTCTTCCCTGAAATGTTCATGAACATGCACACCCTAAATCCTAAACCCTAAACCCTAAACGCGAAACCCTAAACCCTAAACCCTAAACCCCAAGGGGCAGCTAACCTTAGGATCATGGAAGAGGAGTCACACGATCCTCAAGAAGCCGACTTGCAAGCTTACCACTGCGGCTGGGCAATGTGGGAGAGGCCGGAACAACTTAAGATCTGCAGCAACTTTAGGGTTTAGGGTGTAGGGTTTAGGGGTTAGGGGTTGGGGTTTAGGGTTTAGGGTTTAGGGTTTAGGGTTTAGGGTTTAGGGTTTAGGGTTTAGGGTTTAGGGTTTAGTGTTTAGGGTTTAGGGTTTAGGGTTTAGGGTTTAGGGTTTAGGGTTTAGGGTTTAGGGTTTAGGGTTTAGGGTTTAGGATTCAGGGTTCAGGGTTTAGGGTTTAGGGTTTGGGGTTTAGGGTTTAGGGTTTAGGGCCTAGGGCTTAGTTCAAGCCATGGCGCTGAATGTCCTTGGCTGCGAGTTCAATCGGAACAGTCTCCGAATCTGAAGAAGCCCGGTACCCAGGTGTAGGGCTTCAACAGGGTTCCGAAGCCTCAACCCTGAAGCCTAAGCCCTAAATCCTAAACCCTAAACGCTAAACCCTAAACCCTAAACCCCCACTTAGGAGCCACGTTGAACATGAATCCTCTCCCAGGGTCAAGGGCTCCGGATCGACTCCCGACGACTGCATGTCCTCGATGCTGAGAATTTGGAGGTTCATGGTACTTATGACCCAATTATAAGGAGGGTTTAGGGTTTAGGGTTTAGGGTTTGTACTTGTAACCCACTTATAAGCTCTTGTAAGTGTCCTAATCTGGTTCTAATATTCATTGAGCGATGGGTACAGGTATAATTGGATTATGAAGTACCACGAAGCTCCAAGTATTCGGAAGGCTTTGGCTTGGCTTTTGGTAGCCCAGCAACCATATTACAGTAAGGGTGCCCTTTTTTGGGGGGTTGGTTACTTTATAGGAGGGAACCTTGAACCAAGAAAAAAGGGAAAAAAGGTACCACTGGGCTACTGGTACCAAGTTGAGGGTTTAGGGCTTATAGGGGTCTGGGACCCCCAGTTCCCCAGCCATTTTACCCGCCTGGGAATGTCTCGAAGGTGTTTAGACGGGAGGAAGGAGCACAGAAGCAGGACATTGTGGCGACGAAGAATTTTTCTAAAGTGCAGGCCATGCGTCAGAAAAGAGACGGAGGGCCTGCTGCCACTGGCGTGACCGGGAGCAAGCCAGGATCGCAGCATTGAAGGTAACTCCATTGGCTTCAAGGCCCATCTCCTGCATCCTTGCAAAGTTTGCAGATGATTCCAGGACGTACGCCAGCTAACCTCTATCTCCTAGGGAATTGGGGGGATAGAGGTTAGAGGGATAGCAGGATGGGTTTGGGAGGGAGGGGGGGGGGTTGGACAGATAGATAGATAGGTGGATTTTTTTCGGGGGGGGGGGGGGGGGATGTTGTTGACTTTCTTGACCCTTAACTCTAAGCCCAAAGCCTTAAGGGTTTGGAATTGGGGTTTAAGGCTTAGGGGTACATTTGGGGTTTAGACCTGTTGCAAGCTTCGCAACACAGGAGTTTTGAATCGGGATTATAGTACCCCCTATTAGAATCCCTATAGATAGATAGATAGATAGAGAGGCTCCTGCGGGGGAGGGGGAGGGGTAAGATAGATAGATAGTACCTGACGGGTGGACCCTGGCCAGCGGAGGGGGGGGAGCTTTGATGGGGGGGGGGGGCCTGTGGGAGGGTGGGCATGTAAAATTTTCAGCTGGGGGGGGAGGGGGGTGGGTGTGGGGGGGTGGTGATATAGATAGATAGTACCTGACGGGTGGACCTGGGCATAGATAGATAGACAGCTCTGTAAAATTTAAGCCGGGTGCAGGGGGGAGGGGGGGGTGGCCAGGGGGGGGGGGGTGGTTAGATAAATAGATAGTACTCCTGGAAGGGGGGGGGGGGGGGGGGGGGATAGATAAACAGTAAAATTTTTCAGCCGGGGGGGGGTGGCCGGAGGGGGGGGGGGGGGGGGTGGTTAGATAGGGTGGACCTGACGGTGGACCCTAGCCGGGGGGGGGGAGGGGTTAGATAGATAGATAGATAGGTAGATAGGAGACAGTAAAATTTTCAGCTGGGGCGGGGGGGGTGGCCGGAGGGGGGGTTAGATAGATAGATAGTACCTGACAGGGGGCCGGGGGGGGGGGGTGGTTGGAGAGACGGGGGGGTGAGATAGAGGGGGGAGTGGTGGTGGTTAGTTAGTTGTTCGCACCTGACGGGTGGGTACTGCTCAGGGGGGGGGGTTAGATAGATAGATAGACAGTAAAATTTTCAGTTGGGGGGTATTGGGGGGGTGGCCCAACCAATGCATGCCCAAACCCTCCCCACCCCCTCCAACGCATGCCCAAACAATGCCCCCCTGCCCCCCCCCCCCCTGCCCTTCATGCCCAAATGCATGAATAATTCTATGGGCTCCAACGCATGCCCTTCCCACAATTCCTTCATGTGGCGTAAGATCTTTGCCCCCTCCACCTCGCCTGAAGTAAAAGGGCCCCCTCCCGCCCGCTCCGCCCACCCCACCCATGCCTCATGGGCCCGATCTCGTATGGCCCCATACCCCTCGACCATGGATGACGCCAGAAGATAGATAGTACCTGACGGGTGGAACCTGGTCGGGGGGTGGATGGATAGAGAAGAAAATTTTCAGCTGGGGGGTGGTTAGATAGATAGATAGTACCTGACGGGTGACCTGCAGCGGGGGGGGTTAGATATGCTAGTCTAAAATTCCTGTCGGCGGGGAGGGGGGGGGGGGGGTGGAGATTGGAGATAGAGAGATAGTTACCTGACAGGTGGGACCCGGGCAAGGGGGGGGGTTTTAGATAGAGGGGGGTGGCAGGGGGGGGGGGGGGTGGGGGTTTTTTAGATGCAGGGGAGGGGCGTTAGATTGATAGATAGACAGGCTCCGGTAAATTTTCGGGGGGGGGGGGCTTCGAATAGATAGGAACTGATGGGTGGACCATGGCGAGTTAAGATACTGAGGGGGGGGGGGTGGCCGGGGGGGGGGAAGGCGGCGTGGTTTTAGCTAGACAGCAAGTAAAAATTTTCAGTGGGGGGGGGGGGGGGGGGTGCAGTGGGGGGGGGGGGGGGGTAGATAGATAGATAGATAGATAGACAGGCTCCTGTAAAAGTGTAGCCCGGGGGGGGGGGGGGGGGTGTGGTTTAGATAATAAATAGATAGATAGATAAATAGATAGATAGAGGGGCAACATCTATCTATCTAACCAGCATGTATCCGTGGTTAGATAGATAGATAGTACCTGACGGGTGGACCCTGGCCAGGGGGGGGGGGGGGTTAGATAGATAGATAGATAGATAGATAGACAGGCTCCTGTAAAAATTTTAACGCCGGGGGGGGGGGGGGGGGTGGTTAGATAGGGGGGGGGGTGGTTAGATAGATAGATAGATAGATAGATAGGGGGGCAACATCTATCTATCTAACCAGCATGTATCCGACAGAGGTTAGAGGATAGAGGTTAGGGGGGGTACATGATGGATGATTCGTGCGCAGTCGCGCTTGCCCTTCACCGGAAGACCGTGCCCGGAAAACTACTACAAGCAGTACCGAACACCTGGCATCCGCAGGGCGCGACTATGGTGCATGCCTGCGTGAAGGATGGTGAGGGCATTTCTGTCAAGAATCCCGAAGAGCAGCTTCAAGGACTTCTGCCACAGGGAGCTCTTTTCGCAGGCGCTGATGACAGAGTTCAGGGTCAGAGCATTCGGCTCTGTGCGAGAGCAACTCATGGAGTGCAGCCTCGGTCACGGTTCCCGAGCTGCATCTGCATGCCCCACTTATTGGGAAAGAGGGTTTAGGGTTTAGGGTTCAGCTCTTAGGGTTTAGGGTTTATGGGTTTAGGGTTTATCTCCAAAGCATCTTTCGCGTCCACGTGGCAAAGCTACAGCCGCTTGCCACTGTTCAGCATTTTCGCAGGCACTGATTGTGGAGCTCCAGCCTTGATTCAGAATGCACTGCGCTGCTAATGGCCACACAATATGGCCTTCGACATATAACGAAGTTGCACCCAGCACATGACCTGCAGAACTGTCAAGCTAAAGAGCTCACGACGCTGGGTTCCAGCTGCATAGCAGACATACCTCACATATACCGCAGAGAGGCCATTGAGTGCTTACTGCAGAAGACTGCCATGACAGTAGCTCCGCAGCCCGTAATTAAACATCCTAAATACCGAAACTCTCTGCACTCTAGACAGTCTTCGTTCAGGACAGCGATGTAGATCCGAACTCCGACAATCGCTGCGAGCAGGCAGCGCACTTGAAATCCGTCCTAATCCCCTACAGGCTCACCGCATGGGAGCGGCTTCTCAATGAGAGAAGCGCACAGATCGCACAGGAGCACCGAGAGGGTCGTCATTGGCGATTCGGAATGCGCACCATGCGCAGGCAGACTCGCGGACGCAAGCGAGCGCTGACAGGGCCCTCATTGGATTTTGCCCCTCACCTATATTTTGGCCCTAGGCGAGTGCGTCGTCGGGACACGGAACCTGTGACAGGACCATGGCGGGAGCACGATGAAATCCTAAGCCCAACGGTTTAGGGTTTAGGGTTTAGAGTTTAGGGTTTAGGGTTTAGCTCCCTCAAGCTCCGCGGAAGTCTTCTGAAGCACTGAGCAGCCAAGCATCCTTGAAGCAGATTCAGGGCCCGAATCCACTGCCCGGCCTTCTCACAAGCAGTGATTGCCGAGTTGCAGCCTCACTGGGCTTCAGCGGCTTCCCAGGAACCTAGGATACCTTTAGGCCTAAACCCTAAACCCTAAACCCTAAACCCTAAACCCTAAACCCTAAACCCTGAACCCTGAACCCTAAACCCTGAATTGGGGCGTCTGCCTTTAGTCGGTTTGACTGGAATCGATGCTTTGCTTTCACTGGCCTTGGTCTGGCTTCAAGGACGATATCTCCCAGTTTCATGATTTAGGGTTTAGGGTTTAGGGTACCTGGACGATTTGAAGCTTTCCTAATCCCAGGGTCCCAGCATGTTCTCAGCATGGACCGTGTGGCACTGTCTGCAATCTACTCGAGGCTTAGCAGGATTTTGGCCTCTGCCTATAAAAGAGTCTCAGAGCGCGGTGTGTGTGTGTGTGTGTGTGTGTGTGTGTGTGTGTGTGTGTGTGTGTGTGTGTGTGTGTGTGTGTGTGTGTGTGTGCGTGGTGTGTGTGGTGTGGTGTGCGTGCGTGCGTGCGTATGGTGCGTGGGGGTGTGTTGTGTGCGTGTGGTGGGTGGTGGGTGGGTGGGTGGGTGGGTGTGTGGGTGTGTGGGTGTGGGTGTGGGTGGGTGTGGGTGTGGGTGTGGGTGTGGGTGTGGGTGTGGGTGTGTGGGTGTGTGGGTGTGGGGTGTGGGAAAAAACCCATCAAAAAAAAACTTTTTCCCAATCAAAAAAAAACTTTTCCCGACCAATCTAAAAAAAACTTTCCAAAGATCAAGAAAAAACTTTTTTCCAATCAAAAAAAACTTTCTTTGGGTATTTATAAGAGATCTAGAATGAATTTATTCGAGAAGCGGGAATCAAAAAAAAACTTTTTCCTAATCAAAAAAATCCTTGGTAGTCTACAAGAGGTTTTGCCTCTCTTGGACGATACCGCATTCGACGCAAAGATATGTATAGTTTAGTGTGCACGTGTGGAAAAAATATGTGTATATATGTCTTGGGCGGCAAAACAGACACTCCTTTCTGCACGGCTTAAAAAAAGCGGGGGGGTTGGAGGGGGCCCAGCCCCCCCCCATTTGCAAACACAATGCTCACACGATGTTTTTCAACTAGTTTCTTGGGCTTTGAAGCACGCTTGGTACGGCTTAAAAAAAGCGGGGGGGGTTGGGGGGGGCGCAGCCCCAGCCCCATTTGCAAACACCCTGCTCACATGATGGGTGTCAACAAGTTTCTTGGGCTTTGAAGCACGCTCTGCACGGCTTAAAAAAAGCGGGGGGGTTGGGGGGGGGGGCAGCCCCCCCCCCATTTGCAAACACAATGCTCACACGATGTTTTTCAACTAGTTTCTTGGGCTTTGAAGCACGCTTGGTACGGCTTAAAAAAAGCGGGGGGGGTTGGGGGGGGCGCAGCCCCAGCCCCATTTGCAAACACCCTGCTCACATGATGGGTGTCAACAAGTTTCTTGGGCTTTGAAGCACGCTCTGCACGGCTTAAAAAAAGCGGGGGGGTTGGGGGGGGGGCAGCCCCCCCCCCATTTGCAAACACAATGCTCACACGATGTTTTTCAACTAGTTTCTTGGGCTTTGAAGCACGCTTGGTGCGGCTTAAAAGAAGCGTGGGGGGGTCACGCTCTGCACGGCTCAAAAAAAAGAGGCGGGGGGGTTTGGGGGGGCGCAGCCCCCCCCCCCCACTTGCAAACACAATGTTTTTTCAACTAGTTTCTTGGGCTTTGAAGCACGCTTGGTTAGGGTTTAGGGTTTAGGGTTTAGGGTTTAGGGTTTAGGGTTTAGGGTTTAGGGTTTAGGGTTTAGGGTTTAGGGTTTAGGGTTTAGGGTTTAGGGTTTAGGGTTTAGGGTTTAGGGTTTAGGGTTTAGGGTTTAGGGGGTTTAGGTTTAGGTTTAGGGTTTAGGGTTTAGGGTTTAGGGTTTATTTAGGGTTTAGGGTTTAGGGTTTAGGATTTAGGGTTTAGGGTTTAGGGTTTAGGGTTTAGGGTTTAGGGTTTAGAAGGGTTTGAAGCACGCTTGGTACGGCTTAAAAAAAGCGGGGGGGGGTTGGGGGAGGGCGCAGCCCCCCCCCCCATTTGCAAACACCCTGCTCACATGATGGGCGTCAACAAGTTTCTTGGGCTTTGAAGCACGCTCTGCACGGCTTAAAAAAAGCGGGGGGGGTGGGGGGCGCAGCCCCCCCCCATTTGCAAACACAATGCTCACACGATGTTTTTCAACTAGTTTCTTGGGCTTTGAAGCACGCTTGGTACGGCTTAAAAAAAGCGGGGGGGGGGTTGGGGGGGGCGCAGCCCCAGCCCCATTTGCAACACCCTGCTCACATGATGGGT